AGAAAGGTGAGCATACGGATGTCAATGAAGGCCTGTGCACTCCTTATTTGCTTGTGTTGACTGATCTGCCAGTAGCCTTGCTGCCACTAGGTGTTCCCAGAGTCAGAGCAAGTCTATGGCTCTACAGAGATTTTCATTAAGACAAAGCTGGATTTCATCTCATGTTGTCGCAAGCATATTCTCAGTGCCCTACAAATGATGACCCAGGGCTAGATCCAGGGAACTCCACTGAAGTCAAAAACAAAATGTTGATAAACTTACTGGACTACTTTGAATCTCAAGGGAAGCAATTCGAATGGTTGAATCTATCTGAAATATTTCTAATGCACCTTTCACCTTTATATCTCAAGTGCTGACTTTCTTTAAAGCAAAAAAATAAAGTGGGTTTATCCCCCGCCATCCCCCGCACTTCCCTTCTCTTCCTTTCCCCTCCCTGACAGATCTTTTTTGTTTTGTTGGTTGGGTTGTACAGAAGGTGGGGATTGCTGGGAGGCTTTATGAAGTCAAGGTAGCTTGACAACATGTGAGAGCTTCTTAGACACCCTGACTGCTGGGTCCTTTCAGTACCCGGGTCAACCAGTTTTCTGTAAAACCAACAGGAGTTGAGCCTTATAATGGAATGTTTCTGACTTCTGGGGCTATCTAGTAACTGTCCCGAGAGACTGTGAGCTCCAGTGAATAATCTGGAAGCCACCATGTTAAGTGTTAGCTGTTGCATGAAACTGCAGCGGGCAGAAAATTTCACAAAATTGCCTTCGCTGTTTATTTTTGATTAAAAAAGAACTGTTCCTAACAACCGTGCCAGGATGGATAAGGTCTCGGATCTTTAGCTGTGGTAGAGCTGCACAGCACCGCTGAAGTCAAAACCAAAATATTAATAAACATACTGGACTTGCTGAACCTTAAGGGAAATGTATTCCTTCCCTTAGAGCAATTCTTTTGACCCACACTGATTTGCTTTTTTCTAACATAGCATGCAACCTTGAATTAGATTTGCCTAAGATAATTTAAAAGGAACATATGCAGAACAGCATGATCTGGAATTCAAAGATAAACATTTGTGTGCATTCAGCATTTTCTAGGCTTGGGTGGATATTTCTTGTGCTTTTATGGAGGAGGACTTTTTACAGCATATGAAGCTTGGGTTTGATTTATAAAGTCTCTGGAACCTGGGCCCTTTCTTTAACCACTAGATATTACCATATTTGAAGCAGGTCACCTTTGTTAATGTCCCTCAAATTTGGAAGTGGATTCCCCCCCTGGTTCACCAAACAGGGTTTCATAGTCTTTTAGGTAAACTTCAAACTTACCTGTGGAATCCATAGGTGGAGTGGGATGTAGGAGTAGGTTACAGGGATCAGCTTGCTGTTTATAAAGCACCTGGATTAATGTTGCTCTCTTAGTTCTGGTATATCAAATATCTTAATGCTGATGTTCTAAATGTTTTAAAATGCCATAGGTAGGAAAGAGGGCCATAAATCTGAAGTGGTAAAAGTCCCATGGCAAGGACACTACAGAGTACAACAAAGCTTTCTCTGCTGAGGTTGCTCCAAAACAGGTTTTTCTTCTGTGCATGCATGGAAGCAGTGTGCTTCTGTCCTCTGTCCAAAAGCTCATATACAATGGTACTGCAGGATGGAAGTCTTACCACTGGAAAGTAACTAGGGAAAACAGCAGGGCAGAGGTTAGTAAACAGATAGGAATGTTTCTTAACACAGAAACCACTAATGAAATGTTCACCCATAGACGCACTTGGAAAATCAGGAACAGATTGACACTTAGCAGGTTCCTTTGCAAAGCATTTATGTTGTTTAGGAAAATCCATGATTTTCAATAAGGCATGGTCCACACCAAATTTTAATACTGGTATAACAGCTCCAAAGGGGGGAGGGGGGGAGAGGGGTTTCTTACACAAAAATATTTTAAGCCAGCATAACCCACTAATGTGAATGCAGTTACACTAACATATTGATGACTTATACCAGCATGGCTTATCTCCTTCCCATCTAGATGTCACAACCCAAAGTTGTGATTTTTTGTTTGTGTGCACTTCGGCACTGCTAAATTATGTTCCCGCTAAATTGCAGCGCCTTTGTACAGTGGAGTTTTCTGCAATAGGAGAACCCGCGTGCAGAAGAGTGTTTCCCGCCAGTCTGAAGCTTTCTTTGCATGGTGCATTTCTTTTGCATCATAGTGATGCACGGTGCAAAGGAGTTCCCGCCATTTGTATTTAGATTCACGCCACATTATTGGCCAGATCTAAATTATGCCCACGTGGCGGCTAGCTATTGGCTTGCTAGCCGTATAAAAGGCTTGGGTGGTTTCCGCCCAAGTCGGAGAGAGAGACACGGAGGGACAGGGACAGGGACAGGGAGAAAGAGCGTGAAGATCTCTAAGCGCTGCTGATCCCTTCGAACCCAACGCGTCTCTCTTAAGAAGGCAATAGAGGCTTAATTACTGAACCGAACCCGCGGAGCCTTAACAACTCTGGGGGCCCAATTGCCGAACGGCCTCTAGCCTCTCCCCATCGCCGAGCGCAATCCTAGACGTATCCCTATCCTATATACCCAATTTTTGAACCCACGGAGTCTTAACAGCTCCGGGGGACCTGGGAACCGAACAGAACCCACGGAGATTCAGCAACTCCGTGAGGAAAGAATTGCCGAACCCGCGGAGCCTAAACCACTCCGGGGTCAAAGAACCGAGTTTGTCAGAGTCCTCCAACGAGGACTCAAGCGGAGCTGCGCCTGGAAAGCTGTCCAGCCTACACCGCGACCACCTTGGGTGTAAGTAAATAATCTTTTCAATCAACCATTACGCCTCCGTAACTGATTCTAGCTCGTGCGTACCTTACCACTCCGCGGTTTTCTCCGGCCCCGCGTGCCCGGGCTGCTGGCCACAGCCTGCGTGCACAAAGACGGGCCCGGCTCGCACCTGGCCAGGACGGGGTCGGGAGCCGGCCCGCACACTAGAAATGATTGTATGGGTGTGAGGAACACTAGGGAGGTTGTATTAGTGCGGTTACACCACTGTATCTAAAGTAATAAAGTTGTGTGTGTGTAACTCCTTAGTTATGTGAAGACATTTTTCCAAACACATGCTATTTACATTAAGTAAAAAGTCAGTTCTGATACTAGTGTTCCTGGGTAACAATAGTTTCCTATCTTGGTCAGGGTTACTATTCCTGTACCACCCAGATCCACACCGACCTCTTGAAAATGGCTAGAAAGGGCTTAGTTTCTTGCCCATTCCTTAGCACAGTGGTGCTCAATCTGTGCCAAATGTGGCCCACAGAGCTGTCATCCGCAGGGCTCCCCAGAGGTCTGGAAACTTTGTAGTGGGGGGAGCAGTGGCCATTAATATGGCCAGCCTTCCCCTGACAAATCCCTAAGCCCCATTCCCTGCATCAGATCCAAGCCACACACCCTTCCTTCTCCAGTGGGTGGTCCATGCCCCCTTCCTTCCCTCTCTGTGGTCCAGAGCAAGCTCTTTTCCCCTGCAGGGCTGCACTGGGGCAGGTCTGTGAGATGGTGGCCCACGCAGGCACACTGGTTGGATCTGGCTCCTGGATGGACCAGGCACTGCCAATCTGGCCCACTGGGCAAAAAGGTTGGGCACCACTGCTCTAGCATGCTTCAGGCTGTTCAAAATGGCAAAACCCTTCCTTCCACTCTTTAATAAGCACTAGCAGCTTTGCCCTTGGAGATGTACTCCTCCCCACTCGGTAGTTTGGGTTGATATCATCTCTTTGTCTGTAGACCTTGCAGGACATAGGCGGGGGGAATCATGTATTACAACCATAATTACTATAGAAATAGAGTAATTTATATACTGGGAAGCAGTCCTCTACCATTCTGGTAGAAGGAGCTCTTAAGCTGGTTAATGTAGGCACATTATCTTTTCTGCAGAAAACGAACGTGGAACGAGAGCCTGCAGTTTAAGGCATAAGGAGGGGAAAGGTTAGGCCACTGCAGTTCACCAGAACAAAGGGCGCTGGGCTGAAAGAAGATCATCGGCTGACCCTACTCCTAGAAGTGTGATCTCATTTTAGGGAGTACAGCGAGTCAATGCAGGCTGGGCTGCCTGGTGAAAACCACTGTTTCCCTGAAAACTTCCTTCCCCTCTGTCACAACTGTCCTGCTTTCAATCTTATTGTCAGTAACTGGGGGAGGGGGGCAGTTTTGTTTTTGATTTGTTGTTTTGTTGGGTTTTTTTAAGGAAAAGTCTCGCTAGGAAAGTTCATGCTTCAGGGTGGCTCTTTTTACATAGAGCAAGATGACTACTCTGTGTTTATGTCTCCTTTTCCAAGCTTTTCAGACATAGATTAAGTCTTGTGATCACTGCTGCCATGAAGCAGATGCTTATAATAAACTTGAAAATGAGTGAACAGAGATGTAGACACAGGTTAAGTTAACGGTTTAAACTGCTTCAAGCTGTAAGAAGGAAGGCAGAATAATAAAATCAGTGGTAGAGAACTTAGACTAGAGGTCCATAGTTTCATTGGAAATGCTGCAAAAGCTTCTGTTTTAGCTCTCCGGGAAGAGCTGTGAATGGTACTTCAGGGCTCCATATTGCTGTATTAGGGAGGCTTCTCGTACAGTCCTCAATAGCTTTCACTTGGTGGCCTGCAGACTATGTCCGAGGGATCCGTGAAAGAAGATTATAATCAGTCAAAAGTATATGAATACCCACACTTGCAAGTCAAAGCAGTCCATACCTCTGTTCAAAATTTTTTAGAGGTCTGCAAATGAAAAAAAGGTTGAAAACCACTGGTCTAACTACTTTTCAAACATCTCAGTCTTGGAGGTGCTAATGGTGTGAAGTGGTATGACAATTGAAAAAGTCTTATGATACCATCATTTTCCTGGTGCCTGTCTCATTGCAAGCACTGCCATTGAAATGTCATCAAACACCGTTGAAATGAGGTAGGATGAGTTTGTGAGTAATACAAGTGATCACTGTGTATTTTTGTCATCTCATTCTCCTTAATTCTTTCCTAGTGCAACCTGGTTCACTATCTAAGACTCAGCCATCACTTGACAGTCCTGAATTATGTGATTGGTGTCTTTGACAAATTGGAGACCCCATCCTCTGAACTGGTGAAGATCAAAGATACCCAGTTTGATGGAGTAGAAGTCAGAGTGTTTGAACCTTCCAAGAAGGAGGACAAGGCACTAAGGCGCAGCGTGGTTTACATCCATGGTGGAGGTTGGGCCTTGGCAAGTGCAAGTATGAATCTATCATTAATTAAATAGAATTAAAGTGTGTTCTGATCGGGGCGGTTTGTAAGCAAAATCTTTCCTCATCCCAGAGCTGGAAATGTGGCTGTCTGAGACGTACCTGATTTTTAAAAAGAGGGTCCAGTAGTAGCTATCCTGACTGTGCCACATGAGAGACAAGAGAATAAAGTGCATCCTTTAACAGCATGTGGGCTATGAACATATTAGGAAGAAATAATAGTTACTGTTTAGCAAAAATTACCTTGAAATTTAGGGCGTCTTACACCAATATTAACCTGGCCACAGAAGTATCGCTTCTTTGATGGCTGCAGACAGTGATATCACAGCCACTGATCCAGCCATGCTGTTTGGCCTGTGGTTTGCAATTGTGGTAAACATTCCTTTGCCTTTTCTGCTCTCAGAGAAGTTCCTCCAGTGAGTCTCTTCAAGAAGGGCTTTCATACACAGCTGTTAGCTGTTATGACGCCTGCTAGAACTCCAGCAGCTTTATTTGTTCTGTAGCAATTTGCATGGCACTCCCACTGTGCAAAATGTTTGCATCCATATTATTGGGCTTCATTCAGATCACTATAACTCGGCTGTGACTAACGCGTCATTGCAGTTCGTGAGCTGTAAAAATTAGTGGCACGCATACTACAGTTAAATCTTGAGACTGGGTACTTAATATATTTGCATATTCTACATCCCCCATGAAATAAGTATTCAGTAGCCAAAGAAGACCAAAATTATAGAAAATAAGTCCTGGGAAATAGAATGGTCTTGATCCTGCTGCCAGCTTAAGTGAATAGTCTCTTTAATAGGATTACTCACTTGAGTAAAAGCAAGGTTGAGCTTGGTGTGCAAGCTGTTATAAAATGATTGTATATGTGATGACTCAGTAGCATGTTTTACCTCCATGGCAATGGTAAAGGTAAGGTAGACAGATTAAATGACCAGCTGGAAGTTATACAAAAAATGATGATGAACCCATGATTTGAAGGCAGGAATTATCTGTTCATTCCATAGCAGGTAGTGCTTTATCAATCATTGCATTCTATTGGTTTACATTTACATAAAGATTTGCTGATAGTAATGAGATCATTGTATTGTCTAAGATTCTTGTTTATTATTTCAGGGCTTGATCCTTCTTATGAATCCAAATTTATGTGTTGCCATATAAAATGTTGTTAAACTTGGAACAGTCTGTCATTAACGTATGCCTCTTTTATTTCTAGGAGCAAGCTCCTATAACAATCTCTGTAAAATCATGACAGAATCTCTGAAGGCTGTAATTGTGTCAATTGAGTGAGTAATCTATAATCAATAAAGTAATTTAAGGTATTTATAAATATATATCTTTATAAATGAGTGAGGGTTTTTTTTTTTATCTTATTGCTGTGATTTGTTTAAATGGTTCTAACTTGGAAAAACAGTCTTTTTAGCAGTAAGATATTTTTGGTCCTTCTAACTGACAATGAGAATGAGAGTGGTTTCTGAATATGATTTTAATTATGGCCCCATCAGTTGTTCTAGCTGTTTAAAACCCAATTGTAGAAAAAAAATAGCGATAGCCAGTATAATTGTTTCCTTTAAGAAATTCTTTGTCTATTCAATGTTGTAGATGCATATGAAGTTGCTAGCCTAAGATGGAGTAAATCACTCGTGTTAAAATGTTGCTTTGAGGATTATAATGCAAGTATAGACACAGACATTATCGTCTACACTTTGAACGGAAGTAGAAACATGCATCACTCAGTTTCTCTATTTAGTTGCTAGGATTGTGCATGGTCATTGCCACTATACTTTCCAGCTGGAGGCTGAGATTTGAGTGCCAGATTCAAATTAAGAATGTTTCATGTCCATCCAAGAACAAGAGTTTAAACTGTATGACACTGCTCCTACACCTAAATATGCTGTGAAGCCTCCTGGCTTTCCACTGTTCTGCCAACCGCACTATTCCATAGATCTAATTGGAGCCATATGCTTTATCCAAGGGACAAGGCAGCAAAGAACGAAGGCATCTTTTTGGATAGAGGCATCCCCATAAGGTGGCTAGCCTCTCAAGCCACTAAACATGCTGCGACTTCATTTTGACTACCCCTTGTCAAATTTAACATTTTCATTCACAAAAGCAAAGCACTTAATGCAGTCATTCAAGTTCTCCACTGGTGGTTTATTACTTTCAAATTTGAACACAGGATTAGTGTCTCATTATGTTGACTTGATGTTTACTGATAAACTATATTGAAATGAATACTGTAAGGGGTAGGCTTTTCAGCACCTTTTATTGTCTCTGTTAATAACTACCAAAGTAAAGAACAGATGTTGGTCATTGCAGAGAAGTAGCTATCACCACATTCAAAACCTCTTATCATTCCTTTTATTGTTTAGGATGCTGTAATTCCGCCTGTTTTCTTGAGTTATTGTTGTTCGTCTTCTCTCCCCAACCATAATATCTCTCAATCAAGCCTTTTATACTCAATTAGTGCAGTCTAATTTGATTTCTCATTGGTTTAATTGCACATCTCACTTGCATGATGCATACCCAATCTGTTGTGCAGGGGGCTCCCAAAAACCTCTCTCCTCTCACTTAAAGTCCTGTAATATTCCATCTGCTTTCTAAAGTCCCAGAAGATTGAGGAATTGAAAAAGCTACTTATCTCGGTCTTGTGCCTCAAGTTTGCTTTGCACATCTGATTTTCTGTTAAATGCAAAACTTTCAGCCAGTAGAATATTAAAATGGTCATGTGGACCCCTGCTTTTCAGTTGCATGCATTTTTTGGGTCAAATCACTTCTAGCATGTGTTGAGAACATGGTATCTGAATGAATGAATCCAGGGATAATCCACACCTGGCCCAGGTGTTAGACCCAGCCCATGTAGCCATGTCATCTGGCACATGGGTGCTGCAACAATTGATATCATAACCAAATTCCAGCTTGATGCAGCTCTACATTACGGTTTGCAGTTCAGCCCTGTGCTCTGGATATAGCCTGTGTACTGAATTCATGCCACTCATCCAGGCCAAGTTAGGCACCACTGAACAAATAGGCTGGAAACAGGCTCTTATATGCCATTTCCAGAATCCAATGTAAAAAATGTGACTGACTTTTTAAGTACTTCAGGAAGTCTTAGCTGGATTTGGCTGATATCATTTTAATTCTCATTCCTACATCTTTACTCACGAAGGGCACTATATATGAGTGTGACTTGTATCTTTCAGTTGTGAATTGAGACACTAGAAATGAAAAACAATCTTCCTCAACTTGAAGAACAGATGGTCAGATGCAAGAAAAAATGAGAGGAACGGAGATAAATGCTGCCTGGAAGCAACCCATATTAAAGATTCCTTTTTGGTCTGGGGGAAGGAAAAGTGTACTTATAGATGTATAATAGTAAAGTGGGGTTATTCTAAAATGGGTGTTAAAGGGTAGCAGGTTCCACAGCTGTATGTCCTTATATCACAAAGGCAGGCAGTCTATGTGATGATAATACAATCCCTAAGATGAGTGGACCTATCAGGATGACGCTTTTAATATGCCTGTTCCTATACCACTGGAGAGGTTAAACTAAAGTCCCAGATTTAAGTCAAGCCACCTCTTTATAGGTAATAAAGAACATAGGGCAAGAGTAGCAAGATCAAATATGCCATTGCATTTTGAGGAGGAAGTAAGATAAGGCCTAGACTGGGATTTAAGATACAGTGTTTGAAGCTTGTTAAGGCCTGACATGTCAGGATCTGCCTACACTGTAGTCTTAGTCCATGCTTCTATATGCTTTTGCCTAAACCCTTCTTCCATTTGCGTGCAAAACCATCAAGTACATAGTTTCATAGTAGGTAGGGTCAGAACGGACCTGAGCAGATCATCAAGTCTGACCCCCTGCCATGGCAGGAAAGAATGTTGGGGTCCAACAACACCGGCTAGGTGATTATCTAGCCTCCTTTTGAAGACCCCCAGGGTAGGAGCCAGGACCACTTCCCTTGGAAGTTGGTTCCAGATCCTAGCCACCCTGACTCTGAAGTACCTTCTGATATCTAGCCTGAATCTACTCTTGGTCAACTTATGGCCGTTACTCCTCAGTACTCCCGGTAGTGCTCAGTGGAACAAGGACTCTCCCATTGCCTGCTGGTCCCCCTGGCCAGTTTGAAGACAGCCACCAGATCCCCTCTCAGCCTTCTCTTGTGGAGGCTGAACAGGTTCAGGTCCTGTAGCCTCTGCTCATAGGGCCTGCCTTGCTGTCTCCTGATCATGCAAGTGGCCCTCCTCTGGACCCCCTCGATGCTGTCCACCTCCCTCCTGAAGTGCGGTGCCCAGAACTGGATGAAGTACTCCAACTGTGGCCCGACCAGTGTTGCATAGAGGGGGAGGATCACCTCCTTGGACCTGCTTGAGATGCATCTGTGGATGCATAACAAGGCATGGTTAGCCTTCCTGACCGCATCCCCACATTGGTGGCCCATGTTCATTTTGGAATCAATAGTGACACCAAGATCCTTTTCTGCCTCTGTATTTCATAGATTCATAGATATTAGGGTCGGGAGGGACCTCAATAGATCATCGAGTCCGACCCCCTGCATAGGCAGGAAAGAGGGCTGGGTCTAGATGACCCCAGCTAGATGCATATCCAACCTTCTCTTGAAGACCCCCAGGGTAGGGGAGAGCACCACCTCCCTTGGGAGCCCATTCCAGACCTTGGCCACTCTAACTGCGAAGAAGTTCTTCCTAATGTCTAGTCTAAATCTGCTCTCTGCTAGCTTGTGGCCATTATTTCTTGTAACCCCCAGGGGCGCCTTGGTGAATAAAACATGTTCCATTGAGCAATGAATCTGTACTTTGTTTGAATTGCTGGAGTATAGGTTAAAGCTCAAGCTGAGTTTAGCTCAGCTGGAACCCTTTCTCAAATGTGCACACATACTTTGCAGTAAGGATGCTGGCAAAATCCAAATGCTAATAATCCTCTAGTATCCTAGCCACAATTTCCTTCGGAGGACAGACAGGTATTCCTGCAATTGGCAAAATATATTGGGAAAGAACCATGGAGCAACTCCATACAAAGAACTGTGGGATATGTCCCATGACAATGTGGGCAAGCATAGAAACAGTAGGGATGCAATAAAATGGAGGTTGGGCTTTTCTGCTGGAAACTTCATACTCATGTTAAGCTAAACTAAGATTTGAGATCCAGGTAGGAATCACCCAGGTTAACTGTTCAGTGTAGATATAGCCTTCATTAGCACACGTTGACTAACATCTTCTAATCACAAACATTTGGTCTATATAAGGCTTAAGACCCTAAGAGAATGGCAAGAACCAATCCCGGTTGCTGATGGCAAGGGCATGTATTCCCGCTATGGGGCTTTCACAATAAATGAAGTGAGCCGTACAGCTGATAAAAGCATCTGATCACCTGACACTCGGAAAAGATTAGGTCAAAAGTCTCAACCTGACCTGTGGGCCCCTAACTGACCCCAACAGTTAAGAGCACTACGAAATAAAGCAAGCATGATCATGACTACTGCTGCTACCTGCCATTATTAATGGCTGTTGAGGGTGAGGTAGTTTCAAAGCGGCACCCAGCTGGCACTCATTTATATCTTTAGGAATAAGCCACTTGTCTCAGACTCCAAAAAACAAGAGATTTTGAAATGTAATTAATCCTTTTCTAGAGAGAGAGAGGTTAAAACCTTGAGTGATTTAAAAGTATCTTTCTGATAGTGTTTTCTGTAACTGCAGCAATTTTAAGACAATGAAATATCCAAGGCTATCCCATTAACTTCTTTAGTGGAGGAGTTGGCAGTATTTGTATATCTAGAAGATCAGGAAACATTTTGCTCCAGACTTGCCTGGCTTTATTCATTTATATTACTATATCACCTACTGGGCACCAGCTTTAATTATGAGTTTATCGCACGTAATCCCACTCTGGTGATCTGGCTCACAGGTTGAAAGAGAGCAAATGCTGGCTGTTGCTTTCCCTGCACACCAGCCAGGGAAGATTGACTGACCAGTTGCTCACAACAGTCCAAACAGGAAAAACATACAAAAGAAAGCGGGTTCCCCTCTGTTGTGTACAGCAGAGAAGAGTGGCTTTTCTACTACCTCTAGTGGATTGATAACAGATTACACATGACAGATTTAAGCAGCAGTTCAGCCAGCATGTGTATACAAAACTGCTTGGAGAAAAGTCAAATGAAACAGACTGGACTTTAATGCATGTTGTTAAGGGAAACCTAGATGCAGCTGAAGGAAAACAAATTAAGCTACAGTGAAGGGGAGTAGGACATAGGTTTCCTATCGCACAAAAATTTTTGAGATCTCAAAATTGCCCCATCTCACATAGCACAAAGTTTTGATTTTGACCATTTATATATTTTTTTTTCGTTTTACCTTGTCTGCTTACACATGTTATACATATGTTAAAACCAAATAACTGGAATTTTCACTTAGAACATGTTGGAACAACATTTTTGATCATTTCAAAACTCTTTTTTTTCAATTTGAGCCAAGAAGCTCTTGGAGCATATAAACCTGAGAATTGTATAGCTTTTGCACGGACCTCAAAAGTTCCTGTAATCCAGGAAGGTAGGATCCTCCCCATCTAAACTGTCCCTAACAGTTGTTTGCCTAACATGCATTTAAAGACATCCAGTGATGGAAATCGCACAACTGCCTTAGGTTATTTCTTCCCAAGATTGCCCACCTGCATTGTTAGAGTGTTGTTCTAATACCCAAATTGTATCTCCCTTGTTGCAGTTTAAGCCCATTAATTTTTGTCCTGTCACCTATGGATGAGGAGAACAATTGATTGCCATCCTCTTTATAAAAACTCTGTTTGTATTTGAACACAGTTGCCCAAACTCCCTTGGTCTTCTCTTTGGATTAACTTAATCCCAGGTCTTCCTATCTTTCCTCATGCATCATATTTTCTAGTCCTAATCAATTCTTGTTGCTCTCCTCTGGAATTTGCAGCATGTCTATATCTGTCTTGAAAAAACATGCCCCAAACTGGGGGGAAAAAAGTACTCCAGATGAAGAAGGCTATACAGAATAGAAAAATTGCTTCCTACTATAGCATCTGATGCTTCTGTTAATAAATCCTACTATTCTATTAACTTTATTTCTTTTCTTTCTTTTACCTTATACAATTGATTTATATTCAGCTTGTGATGCACTGTAACCTTTGGTCCTCTTCTGCAGTACTTCAGCCTAGTCAGCTCTTCCCCATTTTGTATTTGTGGATTGGTTGCTCCTCCTAAGTGTCATACTTTACACTTGTCTGTACTAAATTTCACCCTATATATTTCCAGCATATCAAGAGCTTTGAATGTTCATTCTGTCCTCTAAGTTTTAACAATATCTAACTTGCAAAGGCACAGCAAGGATGCATTCATTAATGTCTGTGATGCTGCTTGAGATCCTCTACCAGCAGATATTGTGGTATATAATACTAAATAAATATTTCCTAGTTTATTTGTATCCTTTTAGGTGAGCATTACTCTTTCATTATTAGGATTTAACATTGTAGAGGGTGTATATATGCAATATGAGTATTTAATGCCTTCTGTTTTCCTGATAATACTTAAACTGCATAGAACACAATATTTGTTGTGTTGGTAGTACATTGTAATCCTTCTAGAAAGGTATTTTTGAGTAATGGCTGTCCTACAGAAGCCTCTCTTTCTTCTTTTTGTAGATACAGGCTAGTCCCAAAGGTTCATTTCCCTGAGCCATTCAACGATGCTTTCCGTGCAGCTAAGCATTTTTTGCAGCCTGATGTCCTAGCGAAATACTCGGTTGACCCAGGTCGAATTGCAATATCTGGTGATAGCGCAGGAGGGAATTTGGCTGCTGCTGTGTGCCAGCAGGTAACAACTGCTGTTATCTCTAACACTAGAACAGTCCATAATCCAGTGGTGCATGTGGGGATATGGGTTATTTGGGGTGCGTCATCACAAGGTAACTTATTGGATTTAAAGGGTCATACCCAATTTGCATTTTTTTACATTTTGTTCTTGTGTGCATCTCATTGGCCCACAGTTAACTGAATACGTACGTGCTTAATTCATAAATTCATTTCCCAGTTTTGTATAGTTCTTGCACCTGGAAACCTTTGTCAAAGGGTTTAAAAATTGCTAGTGTAATATTTTTTTTCTATTTGCATCTAAAACAGTGTCTTTCAAACTGCCTTTCCATGATAGAACTGTAGGGAAAAAAATATTTTCCTACTACTTATTCTATGTTAATTTCTAATTTAAATTAAGAGGACTGTGATCTGGTTAGGATATTTAAGTAGTAGTTGATGGTTCAGTGTGGTAACATCATCTTTTATCATATCATTAACCACTGATAAACTAGTACATTTTGTGTTTGGGATAGTGAATTTTCAGCTCAATCTTAAAGTTGTGTTAATCATGTTCAGTTAGTTCTTCAGCAACCATGACAGAACACTTTTTTTGGCATCTGCATGCCTAAGTTTTCTTTCATCTAACGTGGGTGTAAATTAGTTGTAGTGTCATTGTTCAGTGATGCAGAACTGGGTCAGGTGAGAGAAGAACCAAGCTTAGGCTGCTAAGATTTCAGATTAAGAGCAAAATTGTCTGCCACTCGAGTTATACCGGCAGAGAATGTGGCTATCAAACACCAAATAGATGTCCACCTCCATCCTAGAGGAATTCCTTTCAGCGAGACCAAGACTAAGATCTAGATTTGCAGAGTAATGACTGTTTTTGTTTTTGTTTTACAATTTGACTCAAACTTCCATTTTTCTTACAGCTGAGTCGAGACACCAGTGTAACTAACAAACCAAAACTGCAGGCTTTGATTTATCCAGTCCTTCAGGCATTAGATTTTAACACCCCTTCATACAGACAGAACGTGAATATGCCTGTTCTTCCCCGATTTGTCATGATAAAGTTCTGGATAGACTATTTCAATGGTAACCCTGACTTTGCCCACTCGATGGTAATTAACAATCATACTGCCCTAGATGTGAGCCAGGCTGTTCCTTACAAGGGACATCTGAACTGGAGCTCTCTCCTCCCTTCAGTATTCAAAAAGAACTACAAGCCTGTAATACAAACCACAGGGAAGGCTGAAATCCTCCAGGAAATACCTGAACTACTTGATATACGTGCAACTCCATTGCTAGCAGAAAAAGAAATTTTGCAACTACAACCAAAGACTTACATCCTGACATGTGAGAATGACGTCCTTAGAGATGATGGGGTAATGTATGCAAAACGGTTAGAGAATGCTGGCGTGGAGGTCACACTGGATCATTTTGAAGACTGCTTTCATGGCTGCATGATCTTCACTGTCTGGCCTACTGATTTCTCCGCAGGACTTCAGACCAGGGAGAGCTACATGAAGTGGCTTGATCAAAACCTTTGAAGGAAGAGAAATTATCTCTAGAAAGCACAAAGTGGTCTATCTAAAGCCCGCTGTTTCCAAAAAAAAATGTGCACTTTTACTCTGACATCATCCATTCAAGATTGCGTCATAGCCTATATTTTGTGTACCACTAACTGCTTGGTTCATTAGCTTGAATAGCCTTGACAGGCATAGCAATTTGTAAAATGCTTTTTTTTAAAAGCTAGTCAATGTGAGTATCAGGTGGTGCCTTAATTGCTGCCACAATTAATAAATCCTGAGCAGGTGTAAGCAAGTACATCAGTATTCCTGAAACTTAATTCTGAAAATTCCTGAAACAGAATTTTCAAGTCAGGATACCTGCCTACTATTAGACAAAGACCACAGTTTTCAAAGTGGAGTCACTGCCATTAGCCATCGCAATCTTTATTTAGGCACTTAACTAGGAGAAGCCTACTTTTCAGACTGGCTGAGCTTGACTGAAGAAGGCAAGGGATGCTGTGGGTGCCCCTCCACCTTGAAAAATGGGCCAGTGGTGAAGGTGCTCAACAGTGAATTTAGGCACTGGCCTTTAAGGATATAGACGTACTGTTATTTATTAATTTTTTAAATTCCAATTTTGAGGCAGTTGAAAGGCAAGCTTCTTAGCCAAAAATGGAAACTGCTTTGGAATTTGGCCCTTATTATGATAGTTCCTTTAAACCAACACAGAGTTAAATAGCTTTTAAAAAGGAAGTAGCATAGGGAAGTCCTTCTGTTGGTTTTAAGAGAGATAACATGGGGCCTATAAGGCACACTGTTGTAAAACAGTGATAGTGTGCCACAGTTGAGATCCTTTCAAGGGTACCACACAATGTTAACACTGTTAGGTGTGCAAACATGATTCACAAGACAAACTGAGAGATTTCAAACAGGAATCCGAAGTGTTAAAATCATCTGACCTGTTATGGTTTTTCTGAGTCCTTTTGCAACAGAAAACTGATCTACTATTTTTCCATTAAAATAAAAAACAAGTGAAAACTAAGAGCTGGCATTTTCCAAGGGGTGCCTCATATCTAAACGGGTGGGAGCCACTGCTGTAAAGGCTTACACAAAGCACTTTATGCAAACAAAATAACCACCCTAAAGTCCACACAGGTAAAAAACAGTCAAAAGGCACCACCAGTGTCTTGCCACTACAATGGGAGTAGGTATTAGTTATCAGGTTAGGTGTAGACTAGATCTTACATGAATTTACCACTTTACAGTTGCATTTTTGGCTAACTGCCCTGCCTGTGTCTCACTTTAGAGCCTTTTCAATTTTGTGACCACTTTAAAGAAAATATGAAGTGTTCTAAAAATAACTCCTGTGGTTTGCACTAGTGTTTGTATTTAATGTTAGCAATTTTTGTTTGTTGAGTCTCTGCTGTGCTTGTAGCTTCCAGTCCATTGTCTTCCATGCTTGCTGGAAGTAAGCAAGCAAAATCACAAGAACTAGGCTTGAATCTGCAATCTAGATCCAGCCTGGAACTCTGCTGCATCTCTTCCTACCATGGACCAAATCCAAATCTCAGAAAGGAATAGCCTTGACTATTATGGAAAATAACTGGAGAGCCATGACTTGAACTTGTAAGACAAGGAAATGGAAGCTACTTACAACAGTGTTTATGGAAAATAACTGGAGAGTCATGACTGAACTTGTAAGACAAGGAAATAGAAGCTACTTATAACAGTGTTTATTCTGCATAATGTTTATTACATGCAAAAAAAAAAAAAAAAGTTTGAGCAAAAGCCAGGAACTGTTAGGATGAAGGGAGAAATGAGTCTTGTAATAAAAGCAGGGCTGTGGGATTTGAGATCTGGGTTGAATTCCCAGCTTTGCCAGCGACTTCCTGTGTGACCTTGGGCAAATCATGTAATCTCTGTGTGCCTCTGTTTCTTGGAGTAAGTACATGGCTACCTCACCAGGATATTGTGAACAGTAATTCACAAATATCACTGAAGCTCTCTGATATGGCACAGATCAGAGATGGCATAGAAAGAGCTGAATTTTCACCTCTCTCCAGTTTATTTTATTGTCTGGTCCCATGCTGCTTTGTGCCATTCAGTTACCTGTGCTTTGTTGAGGGCAACTTAATTTTTTGGTTCATTCTCTAAGGGTGCATCTATATGTTCCAACTTAAGGTGCTTTAGCCCAATTTAAAGTGCACTAAGGATGCGCATCTACACATGCGTGCCCTTAATGCACCTTTAAAATGGCGATTTTAGGCTATTTGTGCCTAAATGTAATACCAGGTATCAAATTTAGGTGTGAACAGCTAAAGCGCATTAACCCATGTGTAGATGTGTTAAGATGTGTTAACGCTATGTATGGATTGACTTAGAACTAACTTCAGTCCCATGTCAGTCCGCACGCACGGCATTAATGCACTTTAATGCATGCATGTGTAGACATGAAAATAAATTGCCTTAATGAGCATTAAGCTAATGCCCATTACATTTAGGTGCACCTAAATGCACGTGTAGACACCCCAAGTTTCTTGTTGCACAGACCTAGGCAGTGAGTAAGTCTTCCTGGCTTTTGTCAACTTATGATGGAACATTTTAAAATGGAACTTTTTATTACTTGATTTCTAGCATAGGGTTCTAGAAATTTCTAAAACATGTTGGCTCCTGTACACGGCTCCAACATGCTGGAAATCCAGTGCATTGGAGTGGACTTGATTAATTGAGTCTGCTGGAGCATGGAAATAAAATGTGCTCCAGCAGTCTCTGACATTACATGTATCAGCGTCCCCCATGCCAAAAAATGGTAGCAGGGCACTTTGAACTAAAGTTTGTTGGATGAGCTTTAGTTTGAAGTGCCCTACCGCCATTTGTCAGCACAGGGGACGCTGATACAAGTGGCGCTTGGGTGCTTTTAATTAAAAGTCCTCACTAATTAAAGCATCCTCTTCCTACCCCGCATGCCTCCCAGAGCACATGTAAAAATGCCTCATGTGCCTGATGGACCAAACTGCCCATAAATTAAAAGGAGAATAACTTGGGTTATATTGTATCATAACAAAATCAGGATATTAAGATTGTGTGGCTCAAGAAAAGCTAGCCATTGGATAAGATCATGATCCATATTCTGTCATGCAACTTTAAATGAACCTCTCACTGAGTTCACAGTTGCATAAGGGACCAAATAAATTGCTGGCATAAAATTTAGTAGGCCAGTAATTTAGCTTTACATCTCTGTATATTGAAGCAGAGTTTGGCCAATGTATCCAAGTATCCCAAGATATAGGAAGGTTCAAACTCTACTCTGGATTTCAAATCCCCAGCTTCAGGAGTATTTGGACAGGGTTCTGTTCAGACTTACAACTAATGCCAACCAAAGTTAGTATATACACTCAAAAGCCATGGCAAAGCATAATGTAGGTCCTGCTCCAAAGCGCTCTGAAATCAAAGGGAGATTTTAAATTGAACTTTAACATTTGGCTTTGACTTAGCTTTGTTCTTAAACTAAAAACCATAACACTAAAATAACCAAATATATAGTTACCTACAGGCTTATAAAATTTCAGCCAAAAACATTAAGCCACTATAATACTGGAAAAAAAATCAGAAGTTAATATTTCTGTAATCGCAAGGTTATGCACTGTGACGATAAAGTTGGCCTGAAACCTTCTTGCAAAGTTTTCGACTAGCATATGTTTATGGATGACTTATAAATCGCTAGTATGAAGCTATAATAGAACTACTGAAGTTTCGTAACTCTAGTGAAGTGGATAGCACAGCTAGAATATATATTTATGGAGCTGGTTGTAAAGTTCCTCTTGCACTGAAGCATGTAATATTCATAGCACAAGAAATGGAAGCAAGTAGATAACTGGAACGCATTTATTCAGTAAGGAATAGACCCTATTCCACCATGTTCAAGTCCCTAAAAATAATTAAGCCAATGTGGATGGGTCCTTCCTCTTCCTCTTAACCACTTTTGATAAAGTGTGACTTACCTTCATCTGAGCATTTAGACTATGCTACACAAGTACATATGTTTAATACTGAGACTTAGTTGCACCATAGGTGGAACAGAATTGACCCCAAGTCACCACCATCTTAGGGCAAAATCCATGGCAGCAATATAGAAGTGACAGTAGCAACTTCTTATATCAAGGTTCTGAACTGATTTCACCTTGTGAAGTAATTCAAGTATATGATATGTAGCTGTAAGGACAGGGGACACGTTCTGTATGTAGCAAATTACAAGGAGTCAGTTACAGCTCTGAGAAATCTTGGTAAGGTAACACAAGACACTTGCCAGGAATTGTAAACCACAAAGTAAGCCTTAGGATCATTCTCATCTCTCTTCCTATTTCTTGTCTCCTTGCTCTAGGTTTTTTTTTTCTATTTTTTACGCAAACCCCCTGGTTGAAAGCTCACTGGTTATATTTGGTTCTTAGTCGAACTGCTGTAGGGCCATGGTAACTCCAGCTCACAGCAGCGTCATTCAGCAGAAAGCACAATTGACCCAGTTTTCATTGGTATGTAAATCTGATCCCTGCCAGGAAGAGATTAAGGTAAATCCATGTACAATGCATCAATTTTACTCCAGTAAATCAGCAATTTTTGAATAATCTCTACTTGAACTCTACCTGTCTCAAATCATGCAAGGTCTGTACTAGAAGGTACTGAAGTCCATTCCTTATTCATTTCAATGGGAATTCATGGCAATTAGCACATCTTAGAATTAGGTCCAGTATTTATTTTTCAGTGTAGAACAGTAATATTTTTCAGTGTTTTATATTTAACTAAAAAACTTTAATTTAAAAGACAATGTGCAAAGAACTCAGCTATTGGGTTTTTGGTGAAGTAGTACTGTTAACTGTTTTTCTTCCCCATGCATATTAGCTCCTAGCAATCCAGAATAAGAAGTTGTTTTTGATAGTTGTAAATAATGTTAAATTCTGTGTTCCCTGAAAAACCAAAGATGGGTCACATAACAGGGCCAGTGGTAGTTACAGTTCTTTCACTCATCAGGAAAGTGATAGTAATAATTCTCCAGGAAGGGCATTGGCCAGAGTTTTAGAGAGAATTTAGATGTCCAGCTTGAAACATTTTAAAAGCCTGATTTTTCAGGGAGGTAGATGGTCAGTACTTCCTGAAAATCATGGTCCTTTAATGCTATACACTCAAATTCCTGCATTCCCTATTGCAAAATTATGTCCCTAACTAGAGCAGAATGGGCCCACTTCTGTTTCTAAGTCAGAATTTGTTTTTAACTATTTTCAAATGCTATTTAGAATTTGTTTTGCCATTTTGTGACTTTTATTTGTTTTTAAGCTGTGGGTATATGTGGTTTATCTGTTACAAAAACTCACCATGATTATCTGAATAAACAGCAAATGACAAAGTAGTGGGTTAACTTAGTTAAACCCTGCCTCTGTAAGCTGCTAATATCTGCAGGTAATAATATAAATAAAACCCAACTAGTTTAATGTTTTTGTGCTTGTGAAGATGTTCAAGAACCAAAATGACAACATACTTGATGTGTGTTCATTTAGTATCTTATGCATGCATGACCAGTTTAGCTTCTTTCCCACAGCCATGGAAAAGATCTTGTAAGGTCTAATTATCAGGTGTGATAAAAGTGTGTAATACAAACCGAAGAATCAATAAATAAAACAAAATGGATTTTGTATATCTTTTTTTTTTTTACCAGAATGAGTAAGCAAAGTTGGTCTTCTTGGTGGCATGGGTAATACAGTGTACTTTTAGGACTTTTCACTACCTGTATCCTAAAACTGAAAGAATGTGAGTTTTCAGGTATGTAACAGGCTGCCTTAAATTGATGCTATAATGTTTACTGAATGGAAATCACTCAGTACAATGAGGTTGTCTCGAAAGGCAAAGTTGCTAAAGAAATATTGAAGACAGGATGTTTGTTTTCAAAAGAGCAGGCCTTCATCCTATGTCACTGTTCTGCTAGATGACCTTCTCTTGTTTGATTGCCGTTCTGTCAACTGATTAACATTGATCCCATTTGTTCTGTTTGAATGACAGTGGGTCCCGGTACCAGTATTGTCTCCCTGTGTTTTGAAAGTATTTTCTTTACTCGGTCAGAGATGTATTCATTGAAGCACATACTTTCTGTCTGACAAGATTTTACTTCATTCACACCAGGATGGTCTTTATGGCACTGCTTTGAAAGTGGCCTGCTCTGTAGTTTTATCACTTCTTCAAGCTGGGCATTGCTACTTTTACATAACTCTATTCTTGTAAGACCTGTAAGCAGAGGGTACATAGAGAAGACTTCAAAATACAAATCCACAAGATACTATAACAGCAGAAGCCAAATGTGGATTGAAGAGTACGTCAAAATTGATACGGACCCCCTAGATTTGACAACGAGGCTTTGTTACCAGTTTTACGTTCAGGTAAATTATCACTAAACAGTATAAGCATTCATGACGTGTACTTCAAGTTAAGCATGCTTAAGTAACTCACCGAATCAGGGCCAAAGGCCTAGATACTAAAAAGACTTGATGGGCTTGATTTTACTGACAAGAGTAGTCCATTGATTTCAAAGGGCTTATAGTGTCCTGCTTAATTATGCCTGTGAATAAGTGCTTTGCTGAACTGGGACTTAAGCTGTTTGGCCTGGGAGAACTGAATTTAGTTTACCCTACCATTTGCTTTGTGTCTCTTTGTAAGAGGATTCTGTACAGCCCACACAAGTACAAAGTTAAATGCCATCCACATGAAGGCTCCATTATGCACACATTGGGCCAACCACTTTTTCTGTGACCCTGTCCTAAATGCTTCAGCTGACAAAGTTACATGGAACGGTAGTGAGAAATCATGCCAGAACATAGTTTGGAGTGCTAAACATAGTACTAAAACATGTAGGACACTGTCCATGCATACATAGTTTGTCTACAAAACACTTGGACTGTTCCAAAACAAGGACATTTGCCAAATTCTTACCTGATTTGTACTCCCTGAAGTGAATGCAGCCGGGCTGCAGAAAGATACCATTGTTATCTTCCATTCCTGGTATATAAGCTGCAAAATTGTGCAGCTAGAGCTGCTGATTACCAGCACAATGATTTACTCCATCCATGCAGGTATTTGAGAGCTTTCCAGAGGAGCATTTAGCAAAATAATTAGCATGTTTCAGCCTCACCTTCCAGCCACTGTATACTCAGAGGTGTCAACAAGCAAAGTGACCCCGCCAGATTATTGTGTCGAAGTGTTAAGTGACGCAACCATTGTAAATAGTGATGCGGTGGCGGAGTGTATCAGCAATTTGACCCAACATGCGAGCGATGCGTGATCAGAGTGTGATCACCTGTGGTCTAGCCAATCAAAGACCACCTAATGGGCATGGCTGGCTGGCCAGCATGTCCATGGGTTCCAGAATGTACCATCAAGGGAGCTTCCTGATTGGCCGAAAAAGTTATATAGGGGACCGCACGCCTCGGTGTGTGGTCCCCAGGCTCTGACTCTCAGGATGGATTGATCACCCGACTTGGGGCCTGGCCAGACCCCTAGGTCTATAGCAGAAGCTGCTCCGGTCGCTCCGAGCATTATAGTTTACTGCCTTGCCAAATCCGGAACGCCCTGTACTTTGTCCCAACCAGACATCGTACTTGTATACTGCGGTCTTCACCCGCCACCCACCGCTTGTCCCTCGTTGCTGTATATAGTTCATCGCCTCCAAGTTATATCACCCTTCAAGTTGTGTCGACAGTTCT